ATCCTTCTGCCTCAGCCTCCCGAGTAGCTGGGACTACAGGCACGCACCACCATGCCTGGCTTTTGTGTGTGTTATATATATATATATATATATATATTTTTTTTTTTTAGTTGGTCAATTAATTTCTTTCTATTTTTGGTAGAGACGGGGTCTCGCTCAGGCTGGTTTCGAACTCCTGACCTTGAGCAATCCGCCCGCCTCGGCCTCCCAAAGTGCTAGGATTACAGGGGTGAGCCACAGCGCCTGGCTACATACGCTTCTAAATCCTGATTTCTAGTTTCTAAGAGCAAGAGGATGGAGCAGTCCTGGGCACTCACCCCTGCCTGGCGATTATGAATATTTTTTTTTTTTTTTGAGACAGAGTCTTACTGTTGCCCTGGCTAGAGTGCCGTGGCGTCAGCCTAGCTCACAGCAACGTCAAACTCCTGGGCTCAAGGATCCTCCTGTCTCAGCCTCCCGAGTAGCTGGGACTACAGGCATGTGCCACCGTGATGCCTGGCTAATTTTTTCTATATATTTTTAGTTGGCCAATTAATTTCTCTCTATTTTTGGTAGAGACAGGGGTCTGGCTCTTGCTCAGGCTGGGTTTGAACTCCTGACCTTGAGCGATCCTCCTGCCTCAGCCTCCCGGAGTGCTAGGATTGCAGGCGTGAGCCACCGCGCCCGGCCCGATTACGAATCTGGGTGGTGAAAGTCTTCCCCTTCCAGCGGCCGAGTGGTCTCCACTCAGCCACAGCCCCCACGCCTCCCTGTCGCTCCCTGTTGCGCTGTGGCCAAATGCGAGAGGCCACCGGACAGAACATTCATCCTCACGCTTTGCTCAAGTAGAGACCCACGCTGCTGGGAAAGTGGGAAGTGGAGGGTGTGCTGAGACAGCCGGATGTTTCCAGAAACAGCTGAACAGGCACATTTCTCCGCCCAGTGAATGTGGATGTGGCTGCTTCTCTCATTCACGTGACCACGCAGCCTCGATTCTGGACACATTCTGGCCCTGGGACAAACTGCTGACCCCAGCGTCCAGGAGACCCACGTGAGCCCAGAGTGGTGGCCAGGGGCAGCTGGGTCACCCGCCCCTTGGTCCTTCCCACACTCCCGTCCCGGTCCTATCGGCCACTCTGCCGGTGCTGGGCTTTCTCACGTCTGTGCCTGGGCGCGTGCTGTCCCCCCACCTGCGTAGACACCCCCATCTTCCATGGGGGGTGGCTGGAAGGCCCTTTCTCTTTCCTTCTTCCGCATGCTCTGTTGGTACCATCCCGGGAGGCTGGCACCAGCTGTGAGAATTCACGTTCTATTTTGCTATGAGCTGCTTGGGGGCTTGAGTCCAGGCCTGATTCATTCCCCCAACCTGCCGTGCCGTACCCATCTATGGATTAGATCAATAAATATTGATTGCATTTCTAGGTGTGGTGTTGTAGACTCTCACCTTGAGGCCATTTTTAGGCTGAGGAACAAGACTGCAGATTTGAGCCACCCACAGTGGCCTGGCTGGGCCAGCTCCTCATGGCTGCTGGGATAGCACAGACTCACTGGAGCCCCCTGCCCCAGATTCCCCGTCTCCTGGGTTAGGGTCACTGGGAGGACCCCAACTTGTACTCGTATACACACACCTGAGTAGGGCCCGTGGGCCATCTCAGCACCTCTGGCAGACGGCAGCCTTGGCTTCTAGCCTGCTACCGGGACATCGGCATCTTAGTAAACTCAGCAGAACTATAAACTTTTGCCCAAAAATGTCTCCCACCAAATGCATAATTGAGAAGCTAAGTCTCAGGGAAACCAACCCCAGTGTTGGAAGATACTATCTCTTCCAGAAATCCTTCCTGGTCACCAGGCTTGGTTGAGGCCTCATTGCCCGTTTGTCCGTCTGTCTCCCCTCTAGACTGGGGGCTTCCCAGGGAGGTGTGTGCGGCCCCAGCCCTGGTACCTAGGAGGTGACCGATGCAATTGGCTGAATGGTCATTGAACAGGAATGTGGGACCCTCCTCCCTCCTGCCCTACCCAATCTGTGTTTTGAAAATCAGGACTTGAGAGTTTCTCTTCTTGCGCGAGCTCTTCCTATCTCTGCAATGTTCTGTGCAGGGCTGGGATTATGGTAGAAGCAGCATCCTGTTGACAGCAGTCACTCAGGGCCCAGTTCCCCTGCAGGAAGGGACAGGATGGGTCTGATGGCAGCTTTTCTCCTCAAGTGATGAGGGAGGGAGATGTCACACTGTTTGGGGGTGGAGACTGAGGGAGGCAGCCCTTCCCACAGTGGCCTGCGCTGGGGACTCAGAGGGCTTTAGTTAAAAATGGCATTGGAGGCCGGGCGCGGTGGCTCACGCCTGTAATCCTAGCACTCTGGGAGGCCGAGGCGGGCGGATTGCTGGAGGTTGGGAGTTCGAAACCATCCTGAGCGAGACCCCGTCTCTACTAAAAATAGAAAGAAATTAATTGACCAACTAAAAATATATATACAAAAAACTAGCTGGGCATGGTGGCACATGCCTGTAGTCCCAGCTACTTGGGAGGCTGAGGCAGGAGGATCGTTTGAGCCCAGGAGTTTGAGGTTGCTGTGAGCTAGGCTGACGCCACGGCACTCACTCTAGCCTGGGCAACAAAAGTGAGACTCTGTCTCAAAAAGAAAAAAAAAAAAATGGCATTGGAGTTCCAAGATGGACTAGGTGAGTCTAAGCAACAAAATTAGACTGTCCCCCCCCCCAAAAAAAACCAAAAAGCACAAAATGAGACTGTCTTAAAAACAGCAAAGGAGGGAAAAGTTAAGGACCCCACAGAGTCTGCTATCCAGTGGGAAGGACAGTGCCAACAAAATGAATTTCTGAGCAGTTATTGGTAAAAGAAAGCTGTTTCATGCTATACCTCAAGGGGTTGACACTCCTGGATCAAATCCATTAATTTAAATATTTACAGTACAAATGCATGTTTGTATCCGCACAGATCCTAATAAGAGGCCGTGTAAGAAACGTAACAGCAGCCTCCATGGAGGGACTGGGGACGGGGAGGCAGAAGGTCAGGGAAGAGGCAGGGGGACTCTTTCCACCTGTTCCGTTGTACCTTTTGAATTTTTTAAAACTGTAGGCATGTACCATTTCAATTACAATGGGCAAAGGTTTTGAGTAATTTGCCGAACAGACCTGAACCTCAAGCAGTGGGCTGGAGTTGGAGTGCATTTCCTCTTCTTTATTTTGTTTAGTCTCTCCTCCTTCCTGCAGTGTGTGTGTGTGTGTGGGGGGGGGGCCTCTTCTTGCACCCCCTAGTGGAGGAGGCGCAGCGAGCTGGCTGCCCGCACCCCACACCTGTTCATGGGTGACAGGTGGTGGCCCGCAGTTTGCTGGCCATGCAGGCTGGCTGGCTGGGTGGGCTCATGTGCCAGCTTTGTCACCTCACTGCCCAGCTCTGGGTGTCTCACTGGGCAGCCACAGGGTAGGAACCAGCCCCTCCTCTGCCTTCTCCTGGTCTTCCCTCATCCAACCCTGGGCCTGGGACAAGAGGAGGGTCCAAGGGATGGGGCTGTCACACTCCTGCCTAGAGCCAGGACCCCCAAAATTATAGAACTACACCAGCCAGGGGGCTCTTACAGAGCAGCAGGTCTAGGCCCTGCATTTCACAGATGGGGAAACTGAGGCTCAGGGAAGGACAATGACTCCGTAGTATCAGGACGGGAAACCAGGTCCCCTACTTTCCAGACCAGAACTCTTTACACCCCACCTGCTGCCCAACCTGCTTTCAGGTGAGCTTCCAAGGGGCAGGGGGTTTGAATGGGTGGCCCGACTCCTGGGGGTATCCATACAATCGGCCTACTTTCGGGGACCACTTGTATGAAACAACCACCCCACACCTCATTCTGCCCACTTCTTCCCTGGGCTGCTCCCCTCCCCTCCCCCCTTCACCCTCCTCCCTGCCCCCAGCCTCAGCTGTGTCCCTTTCCTCTTCTCCCTTACAAATCCTCACCCCCCAATCAGCTTCTCTAGGAAGGCCTTGCTCCAGGTGCTCTGGGTACGATGGCAGTCTGAGCCCAGGGGCCGCGTGCATGTGTGTGCTGTCTCCCCCACCACACTGTGAGCCCCCAGAGGACAATGTGGGTTTTCCCTTGTCTCAGACTTAGCCCCCAGGTGCTCCCAGTCCTGGGTGATACCTGGCACAGACCCCAGAGCCACAGATCCCCGAAAGTCAGGGCTAGCAGGGCCAGTAGGCGCCACATAATTCAGGGTGTGACTCGGAGGAGAGTTCATGGCCAAATACATCCAGGACGCACTGTGTTAATAGGAGACCAGCTTCTTTGTGCAGGACTTCTCAGAGCCTGGACATCATGACTGTCCAGGAGGGGCCAGACTCAACTCACACAGGGAGACCTGAGTTCCACAGGGCAGAAGGGACCGGCTGAAATGGGGCTGCTGCCAGTCTTACAGCACCTTTGTGAAGATTAGTACAAGGAGTCCCTTCCTTAGGACATTGCCATCTGAGCAAAAATTAACACCAGCCTTGATTTTGTGAGAACAAGATGCTTTACTGCCATCTGCTGGGAAGACCTCATAGTAAACACACAAACCTACTATATATGGGAATGTGCCTCCTTCCCCCTTAAATACCGTACTCTTGCCCAGTGTGTAACCTGCCCAACCATGCATGGCAGCCCTGCGCCCAGTCACATGATCCCAACCTGTTCATCATTCCCTTTCTGCTTGCACAATAGTCCCATGTCCCCAGGGAGGGTTCTGTGCTCCAGAACAGACTCCGGGGAAGCTTATGCACTGACAGCACCGGCTGGGGAACAGGGACCGCCACCCAGATCCTGCACAGGCTCTACCTTGCTGTGTGACTGCAGGTAAGTCCTCACCCTCTCTGGGCCAGTTCCCCTCCTATAAAATGAGGTAGCTGAGTTTGATCACCCCCAGGGGCTCAGAGAGCTCTGAACCGACAGTGACACCCCCACCCTCTGTGGAACTTTGAGAAGAGCAACAGTTCTTCTCAGTTGCCGACAGACAGCCAAGAAGACAGCAAAATAAAACCTGGATTTTCTTAGACTAGGAAATATAATTTATTTCATAAAAATTAATTTTGTTACAATAGGAATGCTAAAGGCTATGTACAGGTTGTAGTTTACAGAATAAACAGAGGTGGGACCGGGGACCCTCCCTGGGGTCCTGCACCCCCCTGGGCACGGAGCCGTGTCCGTGGCCCAGGCAGGGGTCCAGCCCTTTGCCCCCAGGAGAGCCGCTCCCTGCACCGAGCTCCTGGTCGCCTCCCTTCAGAAGGCCTGCTAAGGGCCGCAGCTCAGCTGCCTGGGAGCTAGGGGAAGGGGACCAGAGGGCCCGCACAGGCCAGATGAGGAGGGTCCCCCGCACCCAGGGAGGACCCGTGCCCGAGCCCTGGGGCCGGGACGCCGTGGGAGAAGGCAGAGGGAGAGGCACGTAGAAGACACACTGACTGACCCTGTGGACTCAGCGGCAGGGGACAGGCACGCCAACCTCCGCATGTCCAGGCCCGGGACGCAGAGGCGGGTACACGCACCCACACGCAGGTGGGGACGCGTGCACATGTTCCTGGAGGGGCACCCTGATGTGCCCGTGGAGAAAAGCACAGGCACGCGCACACACACACACACACGCACACACACACCAGGGTGAGAGAGACGGAAATGCCGTGCGAGGCCCTGCTGGCTGCGGCTCTCCAGTCTGGACGCCGGGCAGGCGGTGCGGGGACAGTCAGGGCAGCCTGGGCAGATTGGTGGGGTCAGCACAGCCCCTCTGGGCTTTCTTATACAGCCGAGCAGTTTCACCCTTCCCAGGAGCCTCCGGCTAATTGGTTCCAGGACCAATTAGCGCACGATTTCTAGAAGTCAGATTGGAAACCGCACCTGGGCGGCTGGCCGGGCCTCCTGTCCTGAGCTCCTGTCTCCCCACCCCGGGCTGAGCAAGCAGGCTTCTGTGGGTGGGTGGGAGGGGAGGGCAAGGACAGGGAGGAGAGGCAGGTCACACCATGGTCAACTTCTCCCCTCTAGGGCTCCCTTCCGAAGCCTAGAAAGTGTGTCAGAACCCGAAGGGCCTTGGAGAGCAGCCTTCTAGGTATAAAAAGGACACTGAAGCCCAGAGAAGGCAGCGATATGCCTGAGGTCACACAGCAGCATATTGGCTGAGCGGGGACTTCACTCCTGGTCTTTGGACTCCCAGGCCACCTGTGGGCGTTTAAGAGCCTGTGATAGGAATGGCACCAGGAAGGCCCGTCACAGTGCATGTGTGGGCCAGCCTGGCCAGGCTGCCCTCAAAGCCACGTGACAGAGGCCACACACATGCTTGGGCTAACAGTGACCGGTGGGGCTGAGGCAGCGTCCACACGGGCATGATGGGCCAACAGCCTCGGTCTGAGCCTCGTGCAGGCCTGGCCCCGTCAGCAGCCCTAGCAGAAGGAATCCTTTCGAATCTCTGGGCGGGTCCTTGTCTGCTCACAGCCAACCCCACCCCAGGGGGCTGGTGGGTGGAGAGAAGCTCTGTGAGCCACCAAGTGTATGGCAGGTGAGCCAGGCTGGGGACACTGGCTGGGACTCTGGCCTAGAACCTGCCCTTCTCTCAGGAGACCAGACTTGCAAAGGCCGGGGCGTGCTCAAGCTGGTCCCAGTGGCTGCTCTGGGGCCAGCTGGGGCAAGCCCCGGGGTTAGTGCCCAGAACTGCTGGGGGTAGCTGGCACCTGCCTTGCCTCGAGTGCTAAGAGAGAGTGTCTTTGGACAAGACCTCAGTGCCAGCTGCAAGGTCCTGGTCCCAGCCAGCAGGACAGGGCCAGGGACTCCTCCCTCCCCACTCAGGGCCCCTGGAACAGGCTGGGTGGGGTGGCGTGTACAGCCCCTCCACCCTGGCAACCCTGCCCGTTCATAAAGGTTACTTTCAGACCTCCCAGCCCCAGAGGGTGGGGAGAAGCGGGCTGAAGGTGGCGCCGGCGGAGATGAGAGACGGGAAGATCACTTTCCACCACCTCTTCCAGGCGGGCCTCCCAGCCTGGTGCTAACACCCTCCTGAAGCCACCCCGAGGCTGGGAGGCTCAGGCTTCTGCAGCAAGGAGGCCCTCTTACCCATCCCTCTGCTTCCCAGAAGGGGGAAGGGCAGATTCTGGATTCCTGGGCATCAAGAGAGTGCCAACCTGCTCCAGGCCGCCTGATCTAGAGGCCGCTGGGCTGGGTGGGGAGGGGGATGCCCTGGCTGGACACCCCCCCCAGGAGAGAGGTACCCACGGAGGACTCCCCTCCCCCACTCCATCTCTCTGCTTGAGTTCTACTTCTGGGCCACATCTCCTTTCCAGGAGCCAGCAGACCGAGACCAGGCCAGAACACTCTCCCGGCTCCCAGCAGGACTGACCTTCCCTCACTGTCCACACCCAGGGGCCCCGAGGAGCCTGAGGGGTGTGAGCCTGGGCTGTGGGAGGGAGGACCCCACCCACTCCAGCCCTCGGGGTTCCCCGACTTTATAGATGCAGCCTCTGCCTAAGATTTTACAGGGAAACTTGGTACCATGGCTAAGACCCTGTCTGACCTGCCCCTTGCACAACTGGGGAAACTGAGGCCTTGTTAGAATTTAGTCCCAGATGGATTCATTAGCAGCAAAGTTGTCCCTGTTCAGTCTCTCTCTACCTGACACACACACACATGCACACACACACACACACACACACACACACACTCCTGGCCAGAACCGTGACCACGCCCACTCTCATCCACACTCAAGAAAAGAGTTTTCTATTTTTTTGTGTGTTGTTTTTCATTTTCTTTTTTTTTTTTTTCTTAAAAAGGACTCATCCAAATATCTGGATAATAAATCATTTGCGTTTCCTAAGAAACTGGGTTTTTCTTTTCCCTTGTGGTTTTGGAGTTTTTCTTCTTCTGTGAGCCTTACTAGCCGTCTGAAGCTTGCTTGCTTTCCTTTTCCTTTTTGCTTTTGGGTGGGAGAAAGCAGTCTGTCTGTCTGAACTGTACTCGACTCTTCAGAGAGGAAAAGGGTGTGAGAGCAGCCGGGGCTTAGGAGGAGGGGGGTCAGCCAGGGAGGAGGAAGATGAAGAACGCCGCTAAAACCAACGGAACCCAGAAGTCGCGGGGCTCGGGGCGGGTGAGGGTAGGGGGAGGGCCACCTTCTTGTCCCCCAACTGCCTCCAGAGGCCCCAGCCCTATCCGAGCTCCCACACGGAGGTCTGGGGCTGAGAGACACAGCAGGGGAGGGAGAAGGAACACTGAGCCCTCTAACAACAGAGCATGTGGATTTTCTAAGGCTGGTCGTGGTCTGGGGTTTGGGGTAGGGAGGGAGGAGGGGAGGAGGAGGAGGGCACCCTCTAGCTTTGAGCTGAGGGGCAGCAGAGGCTGAACGTCCCCACCAGGAGGCTGCCCCAGGCCTCCCTGCCCCCACCTCCCTCCTGCCAGTCCCTGCCAGCCTGCAGTGCCAGGCGGCTCAGCAGTCCCCATCGGTGGCCACTGCCACCAGCATTTCGCTCTTGCCCATCTCCTCCAAGGCACTGGCCAGGCTGTTGAGGTCCCCGTCGTCCTGCTGCAGCGCTTCCCAGAGGTCCAGGATCACGCCCGTGGGGCTCGCTTTGGTGGCAAAGTAATTCAGGTACCTGGCAGAGAGGGAAGGAGAATGGCGTTGAGCTTCCTGAGCGCTCAGCACCTCCCAGGAGCTTGGGGGTGGAGGGCACACAGGAAGTGGGACAACTGTGGCTCTGGGGCCCCACAGTCCCGGGTCTGGATCCCAGCTCCTCTGCTTGCAGGTTGCACGGTCCTGGGCAAGTCAGTGCACCTCTCTGAGCTCCAGTTTCCCCGTCTCTAAAATGGGAGCGATGCCAGTCACCTCCCAGTGTTACAAACAAGATCCAAGTTCATAGACGGCGAGGGTCTAGCATTGCTTCTAGCATGTACACATTTCGTTCATCCTCATTATATGCCATCACTGTCACTATCATTGAAAGACACCGGCCCCGAGAGAGACAGTCCACACATTTTCTCCTCCTCCTCCTCCCACATTTGTTCCACGGCCTTCTTGAACTCCCGGATAGTGGGAACAAAGCCTTAGCCATCTTTGTGAATCCTACCCGTTCCTAGTAAGACGTCTTACCTATAGCATCTGCTCCATGCAGGTTTATTAGACATTTTTTTAGTAAGTATAATACTTATTATTGCCATTGTATTTAGCCAGTGCTTGGACGTCTCCCAGAGTTCTGACACCCAGGCGTATTTCAGAGCACCTGCTCTGTCCCAGAACCTGGGTCCCGATGGTGATGACGCCTGGCTGGTGTCCTGGCTTTATCCAGCAAGGTGACATCATGCCCGTGAGATGGGCAGGCCAAGCATCGTCCCCACGCAATGGGAGAGGAGTGTGGCAGCCACTCAGAGTCTGCCTGGCTCTCGGACCAGCACTCGGGGCGTGACCCTCCTCCAGGGAGCAGGACTCTCAGACGTGGCCCGTCCCACCCTGAGCCCCTGATCTGCCGCAAATGGAGGCAACGGGCGGCCGAGCTGGGAGCGGAGCCTGGACGGTCAGGGCCTGCGCCACCTGCCCCTGCTGGGCCTTGAGGGCTAAGGCAGGTGGGCGTGGGCTGTGGTTGGGGACGCTCACCTGTCCACGGAGAGCTTCTGCGCCAGCATCCGCCAGTCGTTGCCCCGTGAGTTGGGGGCGTCGAGGCTGTTGCATATCTTCTGGCGGATGGACAGCGGGATCTTGAAGGCATAGGGTCCCAGCTGAGTGGTGGCCGTGCTGCCAGGGGCGGAGCAGAGAGCATCCAGGGAGCCCGCAGGCGTCTGGAAGGGCAGGGGCGAGAGTGAGGGGGCACAGCGCTGGGGACCTGTCCCAGACTGTGAGCCCTCGGGGGCTGTCCCGTGCCAATGCACTGCCCTGGGCGAGTGCTGATGCAGTGTCACCATTGGGAAGCCCCCCGAGGAGCTTCTGTCACAGTCTAGTCCACACAGAGGACCCATTTTTACCCACGTGGAAAACGAAGTCTAGGAAGGGGAAGTGACTTGTGCAGAGCGGGGTCCCGACCTATATCCAGAGCTCTTTACCCTGCCCAGAGAGGAGGATCTAGCATGGTCACCCTGGGTGGCCTGGGTTCTTAACCCTCAGTTGGATTATGGTGGTGGAGAGCTACGGGTTTGGTCCTTGTGTCAGCCTGGGTTCAAATCCAGTCTTGCTATGGGTGTACCGTGTGCAAATACCTGCCCCCCTAAAGCCCACTTTGCTGCCTCCCGGGTGGGACCAGGTGGCACGTCTGTCTCCAGGAGGCTGTGAAGATTTAGTGAGTTAACGTGAGTACATGCTGAGCGTGTGAACAGCACTCAGTGAATGAGAGTTGTTTGCACAAACGACCACATCTCGCCCAGCTCAGACTAGGGAGGGATGAGAGATGCTTCACGGGAGAGGCATTTCCACCCACGGGGGAAGCGCGGGCTCTGTGTGTTGCAGCCCCCAGCCTCCCCCTGGCCCTCACCTCCGCCAGTGCCGTGTGCAGCTGGAAGATCTGGCCCTCCCCTTCCACCTGCCGCACGCAGATCTTGCAGGTGAGCTCCGTGGAGGCCAGGCTGTGCCTCTCCAGGGTGAAAGTGCAGTGCAGGGCCTTCTGGCTGCCACTCCAAATGTGATAGAAGGGGATCTCCTGTGGGCAGAGGGGGGCAGGGCCAAGCTGGTAAGGCCAGCCTGCCTGCCCTGGCAGGGAACCGAGGCAGAAATGGGCAACGGGCCAGATTCCACTAGGGCTGGGAGCCTCAGGGAGGCCTTCGACCTTCGGGGGTGGGGGCAGAGGAAGAAGGGCTGGTCACGGGCTCTCACGCTGGCAGAGTCTATGTTAGGCACCCAGTTCCCGATGGAAGCTGAGAAGTGGCACGAGGGGAGGGAGAGGCACGGGTGCGTGTGAGTGTGCATGTGTCGGGCTGGGAAGACTCGTGGGCTCAGGGGTGTCCCATGCTCAGGCTGGGCAGAGGGCAGTGGCCATCGGAGATTAGCATGGGCACTCTTAGAGACGGTGACCCTTGGTGAGAATGACAGGTACTTGTGCACGGGAGGGAGTGACAGGGCAGAAGTGTGAGTGTGGCTGTCAGTGGCACTGAATCTGGGGATGTGCCTGAGGACGGCTGGGGGCATGGAGCAGGGGTGGGAGACAGATGGCAATGAGGGACACCGGGGGCAGGCAAGGCTACAGGACAGAGGGAGGAGACAGGGCCCAGGAGCAAGGAACTGGTCTTCCCTAGGCAGCCCCCTAAGTGGTGCCCCTCCCCCCCAGCCCGGCCCCCACCTGGTACTTGGCCAGCAGCTTGCTCCTCCAGTGGGCATGCGGGATGTCGTGGAGGGAGAGGCGCAGGTTGTGGTAACTGTCCTTAAAGAGCAGGGGTTTGGGCTCCTCCACCAGGTAGCCGCCCAGAGTGCGCTCCAGCTCCAGCACCTCCTGTGGGCCGGGGCGAGGGGACAGGGGGGCCTGTCATGCTTGGCCAGTGGCCCCTTTCTTGCTGCAAGCTGGGAGGCAGGGACACTCTGAGCACAAGGCTGTGCAGGTGGCAGGTGGCCAGGGCTGGTGGTGTGATCAACAGACGAATGATGGGCAGAAAAGTAGATGGATGGACAGATAGCGGGACAGATGACTGGATGAATAGATGGATGGACAGATAGATAAACAGGTGGACAGATGGACAGAAAGGTGGACAGATGTATGTACAAACGGATGGCTGTGTGAATAGAATAGGTGCCAGGACAGATACAAGAGTGGTGAATGGGTGATGACTGGGTGGACAGGTGGGCTGATGCCGGAGTGTGTGGACAGGTGAACAGAAAGATGGATGGGTGGGTGAAGAAATGGATGGGGGGTCAATAAACAAAGAATGCCACCAGGCCCAAGTCTGGCAACTTCCCTCTTGACCTCCGTACCACTCTCTGGCCAACGCTGCTCATTAGCCACGGCCCAGCAGCAGGGGGTCCAGGCTGCAGGGGCATTTCCCAGGAGCCTCCCACCCAGTAGGGGCCTGAACCACCCCAGCAGGAGACACTCGCTCCCACCGGGCCTTTCCCCTATGTTGTCCACAGCGGAGAGCTGGGACAAGCCCCAGGAGACTAGGAGACAAAGGAGCTGGAAGGGACCACTGAGCAGGGGTGGGAGGAGGAATGGAGCCATGGGAAGGGGCCGTGAGGCTCTGAGGGGGAAGGGAGGAGAGTGTTTGTACTCTCCAGTGCTAGGGAGAGATGCCACTGAGGTCCCAGGAACCAGAGGAGGGGTGAGGAGGGAGCGGACAGCGGCTCTGCGGCTGGCACGGGGGCGGGGGGGTGCTAACACAGGGCGCCACACCTGCCGTCACCAGGCTGTAGGTGCTGCAAGTCCGATTGCCTCCCCTTCCTGCCCCTGCCCCAACCACTGCTAGCCGGCTACCATGGCCCCTCACTTAGGGCACCATTGCATGCGTCCCCCTGCACATACCAGGGCCCGTCCCGTCAGTCCTGGTTCTGTCTGTTCTACTGACGGCACACGGAGTCCAGCCCCGCCTCTCCTGGCCACTGCCACTGCCTGCGGCCCAGGGTCTGGCCCGGCCTCCTAACCAGCCTCTCCACCTCTCATCCACCCACCCCTGCAGCGTAGCCATCGGAGCTTTCCAAAGAGCACCCGTGAACAGGTGTCTTCCGGGTCTATCCTGCTTCCCAGCTGACAGATGCCAGACTCCTTGGCATGGCCCCCGAGGCTCCGGGGAAGCTGAGCCTGTCCATCGCATCCGCACATCCCCACATGCCGCGGTCTCGCCGAGCTACGCGCCAGCCCCCGCCCGGGCTCTCCTGCCTGCCCGCAGCGCCCTCCACCCCTCCTCCTGAACTCCTACTTGCCGGCCTGCTCAGGGCCCCTCCCCAACAACCCAAGCCCCTCCAGGCCTGGGGCTCCCTTAGCCCCCGTCAGACCCCCCGAGAGCCCTCAGCCTGGCTTATCTCTGCGTCTCGAGGGTCCAAACCCCTCAGTGTGCACAGGATGCAGAGCGACTGAATGAGGCTGGAGAGTGTTGGGGGGTTGCCTGGGAGGCCCCACGAGCCGGGGGAGGGGTGCCGGCAGGGACCCTGTGGCTGGCCGGCCGAGTGGGCCGGAGGCCTGGCCTACCTTCAGTGCCACGGGCGTGTCCTCCAGGCAGTAGACACGCAGGCTGTACTCCAGGGAGGTGCAGAGGGCGGGGGCGAACACGGCCAGCTGCAGCCGCTTGACGGCCGAGCGGGAATAGGACTCGCCCGTGAGCACGTAGGTGCCCAGCTGGTCCAGCAGGATGTGGCAGGACCTGGCCTCCAGCTGGCAGTAGCAGGGCGTGTTCAGGGTCTCCTCGTCCAGAGTCACCACCTCCTGCAGGGAAAGGGCGAAGGTGGGGGAGACGGGTCACAGCCACCCAGGCTGGGCCTCCTCTCGCCTCCCCAGGCCTCCCGGGCGGGCTCAGAGAGCTGGGCCGGTCCCCGCCGGGGCCCTCACCTCCCAGTGACCCTGGTGGGCCTGGGTCTTGAGCTGGAAGATCCAGTCTCCGGCGCTGACTTCGGCACAGTGAGGCGCAGTGAGGATGACCGGGCGGCACAGCAGGAGGCCTGTGGGCCCGCAGGTCACCGAGGGGCTCAATACTGTCTGGGTTCCTTCCGAAAGCGGGCTGGGGGCAGGGCGGAGGACAGGAGGGAGGCTGTGAGGGGAGGCCCGAGGAGCTCAGCAAGGACACAGGCTGCTGGGCGCGCCCCAGCCCGTGTGGGGGAGGGCCGGTTTCTGCAGCTCAGCGCTCTGCGACCCCAGAGGTCAGGGCGCCCAGGGAGCAGAGACGACGGCATGAACCCCGAGGATGCCGCCATGTTTCTGCCAATCACCCCACAGCACTCTCACAGCTCGAAATTCTTTGCTCCATTTGTTAAAGGTTCTGCGCGCTTGGAACGTCTCTGATAGGTGTCGCTAAAGCGTTGCTAGGGTGTATCGCTCTGGAAAACCGTTCCCAATCTACGTTCCGGCCGGCAAGCCACGGGAGGGCCGCGTTCCCCACCCCTTGCCAGCACCAGGTGTTAACGTTTGAAAAAAAATCCTTGCAAATTCCTTAAGCAAATACATGACCGATATATGTCATGGTAGTTTTCATTGACTACAAATTAGATTGAAGATTTTCTCACAGTGTACTGGCCATCCTGTGTGTGTGTGTGTAAGTACATGTGTGAGAGTATGCATGTGTGAGTGTATGTGTGAAAGAGAGAACATGTGTGAATCACCTGTTCATCTCCTTTGCCCATTTCCACACTGAGATGCTTAATTTTACTTTTCTTTTCTTTTTTTTTTTTTTTGTTAAGACAGAGTCTCACTCCGTTGCCCAGGCTAGAGTGCCATGGTGTCAGCCTAGCTCACAGCAACCTCAAACTCCTGTGCTCAAGCAATCCTCCTGCCTCAGCCTCCCAAGTAGCTGGGACTACAGGCATGCACCACCATGCCCGACTAATTTTTTGTATATATTTTTAGTTGACCAATTAATTTCTTTCTATTTAGTAGAGACGGGGGTCTTGCTCTTGCTCAGGTTGGTCTCGAACTCCTGACCTTGAGTGATCCGCCCACCTTGGCCTCCCAGAGTGCTAGGATTACAGGAGTCAGCCACAAGCCCGGCTGATGGTTAATTTTTCTTATTGGTCTATAACATTTCTTTACATAGCAAGGCTATTCAGCCCTTGTTGCACCTGCAGCCAGCTTGGCAGCAGCCTTTCAGTGTTATGATTTACGGTGTTGGTTTTGCAAGTTCTAAATGTGGACACGGTAAGACCAGTGTTCTCCTTTGAGGACTATCTCCAGCCTCAGCATCAGGCCCAGACTGGGATGTGGTGTGGACAGGCAGCAGGAGGAGAGAGGAAGCGGAGGGAGGACAGCCCGGGCCGGGGCTGGGTCTCTACTCACAGGGTGTTTTCTGCCTTGTTGATAAGCAGGTACATCTCGTAGAACTTGCCCTGGGGAATGGCTCCATTGGGCACCAGCAGGCTGACCCCTAGGGGGAGAGCAAAACATCTCCTGAGCTCAGGTGGACACCAGCTGGGGTGGGGGGAGAGTCCAGGGACTGGGTGTGAGGCCAGGCCAGGCCGCTGACCACAGCCTGCTCGTCCACTAAGACAGGGGCTTCTGACATTGCCATGGGGTCCAGAGGTCCCAGTGCCAGCTCCATCCCCAGCTCAGTGCATGATGCTGGGACGCCGTCAATTGCTGGCTTTGCAAGTGAAGACGGGCACCCCTGCCCCTCTGCCGCTAGAGCCCAGGACAGCACTGTTGAACTACACGGGGCTCTTCCCCTCACTTAACAGACAGAGAAACTGAGGCTTAAAGGGTGGCTGGCCCCAGGTTCCTGTGCCCCAGACCTGACCCTCAGGCCTTCTCCTCAGACCTCTCCATTGTATTGTCACTTCTTGCCCCCAGGCCTTCCTTTGCATCTGTGCAGGGGGTCAGGGGAGCCCCTCTTCTGCTGGGTGGGCGCTGGGGCAGTGCAGGGGGGATGTGCCGAGGCCAGGCCCGTAGGCGAGCAGGGCAGGGCCCCACCTGTGCCGGGGATGCTGAGCCTCCCGCCCAGGCAGCCGAAGGTGCCGCTGACGCTGCTCCCCGGGTCTCGGGGCAGGCCCAGGAGCTGCTGGGAGCCGAGGCTGGCGCTGCGCAGGTGCAGGAAGTGGGCGTCCCGGGGGAAATCGCCAGGGTAGGTGCCCGGCGGCAGGACGCCCAGCAGGTCAGTCCCATCTGGCAGGCCTGGGCCGGAGCTGGTGGTGCTGGAGCTGTAGACCTTGACCTTGAGGCTGGGCAGGGGGTCCAGCAGGGGCGAGTTGGTCATGGGGATCTTGTCGGCCGAGTCCTGCAGGGCGTACACCGGCCCGCGGTAGACGCCGGCGCTGGCGGTCAGGTCGGGGGGCGCAGACGGGTGCAGGAGCTGCGGGTTGTCTGCAGGGGTACAGGCCGCGGTCAGACCCAGCCGAGCCACACGGGGCCGGCCCCCACCCCTGCTCCTGCCGGGGCCTTCCTGTTGCAAAACCCCACCCACCCACCGCCCGACGGTCCCGCCTCCACCAGCCACCCCGGACGTCCTCGGGTCCTTACTGGGCCGTACGGTCTTGAAGTTGACGGGGTGGAAACCTCCAGTCAGAGCGGCTGACGAGTCGGTGATGTCGGTGTCGAAGTCGCGGCAGCTGCGGCGGTACACCACCACCCCCACCACCATGAGCACCGCGACGACCACGAACACGGCCACCACCAGGCCCGCGTACAGCGCCACGTCCCCTGAGGGCTCCAGCACTGTGGGGACAGGAGGGCCATTGCAGAGACCCTGGTCGGAGCCCTGCCCCGACAGGCCAAGCCTTGAACCTCCCTGAGTGTCTGTGTCTCTAAGGGTAAAATGCTCTCGCAGACCCTGCCCTGGCACCCGCCCAGGGTGGCGACAAGAGGCAAGAGAACAGCCTGTGCACTCCCACACGCCAACTCACTGCTCACCACTGTGAGGGGGGGACAGGGCTTTGCGGCTCAGACACTGGGGCGACACGACTGTCCCGTCGGAGCTGGGACTTAACCCTACAGAACCTTGCTCCGAGCCTGCAGCAATTGCCACGGGCCCAAAGGTCCTGGCTCCCGGACATCTCTGTGAACGGCCGCTCTGAGCTCTTCCTGCACCCCGTGCTCCGAGGGCGGGAGGGGGGGAGTGGAATGACATGCACAGCGATGGGATGGAGCGGGTGAGCAGGTGGAGGGATGGGCCCAGGGAGGCAGCCCATGGCTACACTTTCCCCTCCCCAGGAAGACACGGCCAGGCAGGAATTGTCGAGGTTGGAGAGGCGGGGTCTGCAGGAGGGCTGTCCAGTAGAACTTTCTAGGATGACAGAATATTCTATGTCTGCACTGTCCCATATGCAGCCACTAGCCACATGTGGCCAACAGAACAACTGAAATGTGGCTGGTACAACTGAGGCACTGGACATTTTTTTTGTTATTTTTTAGAGACACAGTTTTGCTCTGTTGCCCAGGCTAGAATGAAGTGGCATCATCATAGCTCATAGTAACCTCCAACTCCTGGGCCCAAGCGATCCTTCTGCCTGAGTCTCCCAATTAGCCGGGACTACAGGTACGTGCCACCACGCCTGGCTAATATTTTAATTTTTTGTAGAGATGAGGCCTTACTATGTTGCCCAGACTAATGCATTTTCAGAGCTTAATTTTAATTAACTGTAAGTTTCAACAGCCAGTGTGGCTGGTGGCTGCCACACTGGACAGCCCAGGCAGAGCTGCTCCCCCAGCTTCCTTTGGGAGCTCCAGAAAGCGCTTGCCCACTGTCCCTCCCTGGGGCCCTGGGGAAGCAGGCCTGCTTGCCCTGCCTGGCCCCCTCCAAGTCTTAAGCTTTTGGCAAGGCCAAGCACGGCTCCCGCCCCGGACGACTGTCCATTTCTCCCTGTGCCTGCCATCTCTCCTCAGCAGCCCCCATTCTCAGGCTCCCCGGAGGTCCCTGGGCTGGGCTCTGCCTCCTAATGTCCCTTGCTTACCCTGGGCCATTTGCCTGGTGACTTACACTCTCTAATCAGTCACCAGCCTGGTCCCCAGTGAGCTGGGCCGAGGGCCTCACTGCTGGTCTTATGTTTCCACGATTATTTGGAAACTTTGGTTTAATGACCGACCGCAGGGCAGTCTGCCGAAGCAGTTTCATTGCTGGATGTTACTGCAGTGGTGGTGCAGCCCCCTGGGAGCTGACGCAGGGCCGTGGGTGTCCCAGGCAACTTGGGAGCCGGGCCCAGCTACTTCGGGTACAGGTGAAGAGGCCCTGGGTGGCCTCGTGTGGTGCTTTCCCCAGCCCGGTCCCAGAGAGGGAGGCTGAGGGCATGGGGTTAAGTGCACTAGCTTTGACCTCAAAAATACTGGGTTCAAATCCTGACTCTGCTACTTCCTGGCTGAGTCTTTGGCATGTCCCTTCTTCTCTTAGACTCAGTCTCCTCCCTGTGGCAGGAGGGTCAGCAGGGCTCTGCGGTCGGTCTGTGATGGAGAACACAGACACAGGCAGCACTGGGCGCAGGGCAGCCCGTGGGCATTGGTATAGGGGGCCACCTTCGACTGTCCCTGCCATGTCCCCCACACCCAGGAAAGCCAGCCAAGGAGAACCAGGGATCCCCCAGAGGAAAAAGGACAGCAATGAAATGAGACTTACGGTGGCTTTTGGGGTCACTTAGAGTTTTCTTATCTGTCGAGTGAAATAAAGGGAAAGACAGTGACACAGGTGACAGGGAAAGGGTGACAGACACGGTGGTGGGGAAATGGTGTGATGAGATGATGATGCGTTAGGCGGGCAGGGGCCCTGGGGCTGGGGCCTTTACCTGGCTCAGAGTCCCCCCAGGGCCCCGCCTTCCCGAGGACTCACTCTGCATGCACAGCCCGTCAGTGCAGTTCTTGGAGTCGAGCAGCGTCCCGCTGCAGTCCCGGCCTCCGTTCTGGGGCGGGGGCGCCATGCACTCACGGCTGCGCCAGTGGGCACACTCGGTGCTGCAGGCTGACCACTTGCTCCACTCCGTCCACGCTCCGTCGACTGTAGGAGCAGGGCACACAGACACGTGCACACGCAGTTACGTGTGCAGAACATACAACATGGCAATACACCAGCATGCACACGTACACACATGCATACACCCCGTGGCAGGGAAAGAGGAACCCAGGACACACGCGTGCCATGCAGGGAGGTCCTGCCGTACCCACCCAGCCCCGTGCCAGTGAACAGCCGGGTGCACCAGCGGACAGAGAGAGCACAGACAGACGCATGAGGCCGTTGGCGCAGATACAGCCCACGCACGACGGTCCACACAGACACAAACCCAGGGGAAACACCCGCACAGTGTTCACACGGACACGTGACCAAAGGGAGGGAACACAGAGATGTGCGAGGGCAGACGAACAGAGGGGCACCCGGAGAGTGGGACGAAGACAGAGAGGGGAGAGGACGCTTAGGGGTTCAGGGCCATGGCCAGGGTGTGTCTTAACACTTAGGTGCAGGAGGCTCCCTGACATTGGGCAGCTCTGGGACCCCAGCCTGGGGCTGACACCGAGAACCCTTGGCTAGAGGTTGGGAAGAAGAGGCCACCCCTCAGACTGCAGCTCAAAGCCTCTGCCTCCATCTCACTAGCAGTGCAGGGCAAAGTGAGAGGTCAGAGGTCAGAGTTCAGAGATCTGAGCATCTAACCCAGACTGGGAGGCCAGATGCAGGCCTGGGACAAGCACGCTCGGCAGAGAGTGGCTGTCTGGGCTCTGGGCACAACATAGGTGAAGATGGGTTTAGGGTGGGGCTGGGTGTGGCAGCGTGCCATCCGGCCAGCGGCCCTTACCTGGGCACACGGTGGTGCAGGCAGTCTTCTGGAAGGCCTGGCCCTCGCAGAAGGCACCTCCGTTGAGCGGGGCGGGGTTGGTGCAGGTCCGGGTGCGCTTCTGCCAGCCTCGGCCACAGCGGTTGGAGCAGGGTGACCACTCGGCCCAGCTGGACCAGCCGCCATTCACTGCAGGGGGGGGCAGCTGTCACGTGGCTGGCCTGGCTCTGGGACCCTCTGGCCCCCCAACGCACCCCCCACCCCTGATGCGGGCTCTCTGCTGAAGCCTGGCCCTCCCCGCCTGGACCCCTCCTGCCTCGGGGCTCGGGACTCCGACACCAGCAGGCAGACCTGGGCTGCTGCAGCCACCAGCACCGCAGGGGACCCGGGGTCACTGTCTATTCCCCAGCGCACTGTACGATGGCCAGCGAAGGTCCAGTGAGGCCTGACTTGCCCAGGGTCACCCTGTCAGTGATGGGGCCTGGGCCTGGGCCTGGAGCCAGGACCTAGCACAGGATGGTCTGTAACTATCAAGCCACCTCAGCTGTGGCTTTGCCCTCCCACCTCGGGCCCAGGGGGGCAGCAGAGCTTACAGGCCTGGGCACCCGTCCCTACCCCTGCAGGGACAACAGGCTTGGGTATGGGGTGCTGACCGGGCCCTGCCTTGGCCCCTGACTTGGAGAGCATTGGGTCTTCTCCTTCAGAGACAGGTAGGTCTCAGGAAGCAGGACGTGCTCCTGCCTGGGGACCCAGGTACGCCTGACTGGCTGTGCTATGACCTTGGCCAACTCCCCTACCCCGCTGGCTCATCTTTCCCACCTGTCCAGGGGCCCTGCCGGCCTCCTGGTAGGCAATGTCGGGGGTGGGTGTACAGCCCCTGATGCCCCCTCCCCCGGCCGTGCCTGCCCCCCACCGCAAGAGGCCCGCACCGTAGACGGTGACCGTGGCGGTGGTGCTCCGGCGCTTGGCCACGATGTTCTTGGCCACGCAGGTGTAGTTGGCCGTGTCCAGCAGGCGGGCCTGGCGGATGATGAGGTTGTGGTCGATGGTGATCAGAAAGTTGGTGTCCTGGGCGGGGTCGATGACGTCCTCGTTCTTGAGCCATTCCACCTGCAGGAGCGGGGTTGGGGGACAGTGAGGGCCCGGGGGCACATGAACAGAAGGCCAGCAGTTCTAACTGGGTCCATGCCCTGGAGGGGACGGTGAGGCAGGCCCCACAGGACGGGGCACTGTGCCCGGTGCTACGCGGCACCACGGCTCAGAGCAACATTTGCCAGCTGGGTGGCCTTGGGAGGGGACTCCCCATTCAGGACTTCAGTCTCAACAACCGAGGTGGGGGTCGAATGGCATCTGCCTCCCCAGGCTGCTGTGAGTGCACGTCAGGTGCCAAGACAGCGCCCGGCTTGGCGTGAGTGAGTCCGGCTAACCAAGCAGGCGTCCGCGAGCTGTCCTGTCTGCTTCGCCACCTCCTCCCACTGGCCCCGCCGGCCAGGGCGAGCGGCCTGGCGGGTGACTGGGAGCACGGTGCCTGGGTTGGGCAGACCTGGGCTCACATCCCAGCTCTGCCACATGGCTTCCTCACCCTGGTGGCCGCTCCCCTGCCCGGCTGCAGTCCAGCTGTAGGACGGGGTTACAACACCCACCCCGCAGGGCTGCTGCGGAGACTGGCACACTCAGTGTCCAGCACTCACGGGACCCCGTGAGCGGCAGCTGTCACGTGGCGTGTTGTCTGAGCCCCTTGCACAATGAGGGACGGCTAAGGGATGAGTGTAAGGGTTTGGGGTCAGACAGGGCTGATTCCAAGCTGGAAGTCCAGGGTCCTGTCTTCCCCAAGCCCCTGTTCCACTGGGGCAAGGCTGAGACGTCCCCCACACCCGGCTCTAATTCCTGGCCCGCCAGTGCAGGGAGTGTGTCTGGAAGGGTGAGAGGGGATGGGACACTCCAGAGGCCGAGCGGGGAGGGGAAGGGTCTTCAGCTTGTGGGGCGGGAACACACCAGGACATGCGCATTATGAGACCCTTTGGCATCCTCGAAGCTGGGGCCATGGGTTCTGGGTGGGGCAGGGGAGACAGGTTGAGCCTGGGGGTTCCTGTCTTAGCTCCGCCCCATCCCGTGGGGCTATGCCTGGGGAGGGCCCAGCTGGAAGCTGGCATGTGCCCAGTTCTGCAGAGGTGGCAGTTCCCTTCTCCGTGCCAAGCCTCGAGCTCCCCATCTGTGAAATGGGGAAGGTTCTGGGAGACTAGCAGTAAATATCACGCCTGACCAGTACCACCTACGTCCCCGCTCACCTCGGCCACAGGCACCCCCTCCGGCGGGCGGCACTGCAGGAGAACCTCATGGTCCAGGGGCACCTCCTTGCCCAGAGGCTCCTGATCGAAGTTCTTGCGCAGGTCTGGGAGAAGCCAGAGGGACCCAAGGCACAGTCAAGCGGGCGCGAGGGGGACCAGAACCTGCAGTTCCCCACTGCGACCACTAGGTGGCGGTGCACACCAAGGGAGCTGTCGATGGGGGCCACCTGGCCTCTACCTGGCGGAACTTTCTCTCCTCCAAAGGAGGTGGTGGTGCCTTGCTAGGGGCACTTGGGGGAGCAGAGTTCCCTCCCTGACTCTGGGATCCTAACATTAGTGGATGTGGTGAGTAACACAGCTTCTTTTATATAGAAATAAGTGAAAAGGGGCCGTGAGGACACCTGGGGCCAGAGGTGGCCCCGGCTCTGGGTCTAGCAGCCCCCTTCTGAGCTGGCGTCCTTGTGCCTGGGTGTCCTGTGTCCGGCGTCCTCAGCCAGGGATGCTGGAGGAGGCGCCACAGACCGGAATTCCCCCTCTAGCACCCACGGGGAGGGGAAGGGCCCACGGGGAGGGGTGGGGTGTGTTGGGGGGTGCGTACAGGCGATGCGGACGTAGGCCCGGCGACTCTTGGTGGTGCCTGCGGAGCTCCAGGCCACACACTGGCACCAGTAATCCTCCAGCCCGAAGAGCTCCTCCACCTGCTGCCGGGACACCTGGATCTGCACCTCGCGCACCCGCAGGCCTGGGGGGAGAGAGAGCCGTCAGGGCCGGCGGGGGTGCGAGGCTCTCTCCCTTCCACCCCAAGCAAGGCCCGCTGGCTGTTCTGCCAGATGCCCCTTGTTTCATCTGTTCCTCTTGTCGCTAGTCCTCTGCCTCCGCCCTGCCAGGGTCACTCACCTGGACGCCGTAATGGCTAGCCCAAGCCCTCTGTCCCCTCCAATGCCCCTTCCACCTGGCAGCTAGGGTGTCCTCTTCCAAATGCACAAATGGTGTGTCCTTCCCCCACCCCCCCCCACGGGACCCTTTACGCTGGGTCCCAGCATAAGGACCCAGAGCCTCCGTGCGGCCCCCAGGCCCTGCAGGAGCCCCACCCAGGACTCTGTCTCAGCTGTGTGCCTGCCTTCCCCAGCCCGCTGCAGCCTCACTGGGCATCTTCCAGTCCCTCACCTTCCCCGGCTCTGCAGCCTCGGGGCCGGCGCACACTGGTCCCCTGCTTGGATCTCTCTTCTGTCCCCTCTGTGCCCAACCACTATCTGCACGCGCCCAGATTATTTACTGCCATGTTAACTGTCTGCTCCTGCGGGGGGAGGGGGGTTGTCCTGCTGGCCTCTGTGGCCCAGGACCCAGCGCAGGGAAGGGGCTCGGCCTGTGGCAGAGGTACGATGCCAGCCTCTCCCCAGTCCCCACTCATGAGCCTGGGGGCCTGCAGCTGGGGGCGGTCCCTCTTCCCGGGAGCCCCTGACCTCCCAGCCTACAGGGAGTGGGGGTGTCCTCTGCACCCCTCCCTCAACAGATGGAATGCTCAGGAAAGGGGCAAACCTGCCTGGATCAGGGCGCCCACCCAAAGCTCCGCCCCACAGCTTAGGGGAGGCTGTGAGGCCTCCTCCTCTAGGAGGCCTCCCTGACTGCCTTCTGCCTCAGACTTCCCAAAGCTTCCTCCTGGCCATGACGTGTTCGGCCTCACCCTCTCCTGGCACATGGGTGGTGAAGCCCCTCGAGGGCAGGACTGAGCACAGTGTGGTCCCGTGGACTGGTGGCTAAGGGTAGAGTTTGGGTGGCCAGACAGGTTTGAATCCTGGCTCACTCCCCTGCTGTGTGGCCTTTGCTAAGTTATTAGCCTCTCTGAGCCTCTGCTCCCTCACCATAGCGAACGTTCAGGGTGACTCTTAAGTGAGTCTCGGCCATTGCTCTGCCACACCACCCAGCCCGGGCTGGATACACATTTACTCTGGCAAGCCACTGGATCTCATCCAGCTTCTTCCTCTAACATTTGGAGAAACCGAGGCCCAGAGAGGGAAGGTGGCAGGCCCAAAGGTGCCCAGCAAGTGGCCACAGAGTAGAGGTCGGCTGTCTGGTGTCTTGCCCAGGTTGGAGCTCTGTCCCCTAACTGTGATGCCTCTGGACCTCTCTCCCAGCCTTGTCACTGCTCGTCGGGGAGGGTGGGGCCTGCACTGGGGCGAAGACAGTGAGGACAGCCCCATCCTGAGAGGGCCAGGGAACTAGGTGGAGGCGGCTGGGGGTGCCATGGAGGGGAGAGGCTGTTTCAGCAGTGGGCGGCTGTGCCAGGGTCAGCCCCCCCATGGGCGCGCCACAGTCCCTGCCCCTGTTTACCAGGTTGTGAGTCTGGACAAGCGGTCCCTTCCAGGGGGGTCACCTATCCAAGAAGGTTTCAGCGGTACCCAATAGTTGGCCAGAGGGCAACCATCACCTAGAGAGGCCTGACACCTTGGTCACCAGCAAGCAGGGATGCAGAGAGGACAAGGATGAGGTCTCTGGTCTCCCAGGCGCGGACCCAGCACCGGCTGGGCCTCCCGAGCATGGCAGTGCTGGTGGGTGGGCAGTGCTGGTGGGTGAGCGGAACCGGCCCCACGGCTGCCAGGGGAGAGCCCTGTCCATTATTCGCAGCTAATGGGGACAACGGTGCCCCAATTTCTAGGGCTGGCAGGGCCTGCGTGCCTGGGAGCGGGGAGTGAGAGCCAAGCTATTACCGATAATCGCAGGGTTATTATTACTATTTCTAATCATCTGAGGGCCCAGCAGGCACACAGCTTCCTTGCTTTGCCCGGACCCCCACGGCTGACTTCTGGCACCGGCCAGGGGGGCTCAGGGGACAGGGAAGTCAAGGACTGTTGTGAGAGACAGACAGAAAGGGGCCGAGAAAACTCAGAAAGAGGACAGAGGAGACAGCATCCACCGAGCACCTGCCGGGTCCTGGCACGCTGCTCGGTGCTGAGTGGAGCCACCGCGATCCACCCTCGCCAGGACGTTCTGTTAACAGCCGAGTTTACGAAGAGCGGGACCGGGGCTCAGAGAGGTTAAGTCACCTCCTCAGGGTCACATAGCCAGAGAGTGGGGGCAGCTGGCAAATACGGTGTTTTGGGCTTTTTTTTTTTTTTTTTTGCCTTTAAAAATATTCCTTTTTTCATGTTTATATTTCAGGTGAGAATAGGATTCTGAATCTATTCTTAAAAGTTACTTTAAAATTGTAGTAAAAGACACATAACACTTGCCACGTTTTTAGCCATTTTTAAGCATGTAGTCAGTGGCCTTGTGCGTCCGTTCTGGGGTGTGGTTCTAAGTCTGGGTGGTTCTGAAACCCGTGAGCTTTTCATGGCAGAGCAGAAACCGAAGGAGGAAGAAAGAAGGAACAGGGGAGAGACAGAGATGGAGACAGAAAAACAAGGCAAGGGGAGAGGAGAACCATGTCAGGAAAAAGGACACAGAGAGAGAGAGAGAGAGAGAGAGGAAGGGAGGGAAGGAGGGAGGGATGAGAAAGGAGAGACAGTGAAAGAAGAAAAGAAGAGAGAGGGGCTGAAAAAGAAGAAAACAAGAAAAAGATTGAGAAAGAGACGGTGAAAACAAAACAGAAACCCAGGCAGGGTACAGCCCCCCAGCCAGCCGTCTGCCAGGTGACCAGGGGTGGAGGGGCCCATCCCCGTGTCCTGGGCCCTGGGAAGGCTCCACCCGAGGTGCCTGCGTAAACAGGCCCTGTGGCTCTGCCTCCTCCTCGGGGCACGTGGAGCCCCCTCGCACCGCGGCAGAAGGGTCCTTTTTCCTCCCTGTTTCTCGGCTTTCAGCCACTCTCCTCTCTCCCCTCGGATGTCGGGCATGTCCCAGCACCACCTGTACAATTATTTACTTAACATTATTACCCTTTGGTTTTTTAACCTAAAACAGTGTATTTTTAGAGAGGAAACGCAGTATCATCATTGCGAACGGAAAACAGCCTCACGTTCCACAGACAGAAAGGACCTGTCAAAATCACAATGGCACCGAATTCTGGGTCTGTGCCAGGGGCGCCAGGGCTGTGGGACGGTGGCCGGGCCCTCTCTGTCACACGGGGAGACCAGCAGGTGTCTGGGAGGGCTGGAGAACCCTGGCCCCCCGCTGGGACCTGCTCCCTAAGGGGCCACGGGGAAGGGAGTGGGCGCCCAGCGGCGGGGTTTGGTGCCGTTGAATGGTCACCCAAAGCCAGGCTGGGACAGGCGGCCAATGCTTGGGGAAATACCCATCCAAGGTGAAGTCCAGAGGGGAAACCGAGGCCCAGGGGGCACCATGGCTCTGTGGAGTCTCACGTAGAGCCCAGTCCCAGGTCCCGTGTCCCCCTGCACCTCTGGGTCTCGGTGCCCCGGGCGCGTGGCGGGCTCACCGGTGGCCTCGTCCAGGCCCTCCTGCGTGACGTGGTCATTCTGGCTGACCCACTCGCCGTTGCACTTGAAGTAGATCTGCGTGGCGGGGAAGGCGCGGCAGCGCAGCTCCACAGGCTTGTTCTTCACGATGTAGGCGTCCTGCGGCTCCTGCAGGAAGTGCGGCAGGGGCTCGGCCGGCGCCGACGGGAAGGAGTCGGGGAGCACCTCGGATTCAGCGCCTGCGGGGAGGACACGGCTGAGGCCCTGGCCCGGAGCCCCCACACCCAGCCCGGGGGGGCCACCACAAGGGGAGACCTGCTGGGATGCGCCCTGCCACCTGGGCAGAGTCTGGCGCTCCTGGGGCCTCAGTTTCCCATCCGGCTCTGCATTTATATGAGGCGGGGCTTTAGGGCCAGCCCTGGCTCTGTGATGTGGTGTGATTCCCCTTTACAGATGGGGACCTCGGGGAGGCCCAGAGAGGTGAGGCGACCCCTCCAGCCCCCAGTGTCCCCTGCACGGGCCCCGCCCAGCCTGCTGCCAGCCGGGTGAGGCTGGAGCTGCAGCCAGGCCCACAGAGGCTGCAAGAGGAGCCAGGGCCTGGGTGCACGGTCCCCTGCAGGCCTCCTGCCCTGCAGCCCTCAGCCAGAGCCTCCTCTGGTCCAAGGCTCCGAACTGTCCCTTAGCCTCCTCCTCCTCGGCCAAACCCACGCCCTCAGCACCAGGGGCGAGGGGACTTCAGAGAACGCAGCCCCAGCAGTCTCCTCCCCAAAGGGGCCAGATGGAAACCCTGGCCTCCCGCGTCCCTGGAAAGAACAGCACCTCAGGGGGGGAGACAAACAGGAAGGGAGGGGCTGGCCGCCGCCAGCGCTGGGAGGGAGGGAAACCAGGCCAGGCCGTCGGTTTACAGTCCACTTAGGAAAACTGATTTTCCGACGCCAAATGCCAAGCGATCAGGTGGCTGGAGACAGCCGTGGGGGGCTTGTCCTCTTCTGCTTGCTGCTCCAGAGGAAACAGCGAATTCAGCTGTGGGGTGCATGTCTGCCCGCCCCTCGGGCCAGAGTGCCCGCCTGGAGTGGGGGCTGGGGGGCAGTGTCCCGGGAGGCCTGAATGGCCGCTGGGATCACCCACTTGTTCTCCAGTCCAGGAGGCCACGCTTGGCCCTCAGGAGGCCCCCTAAGGCAGAGGGGCCAAGGGACGCCCTGTCTTCCAAGAGCAGAATGAACACGACATGCCTGACCATGTTTTCTCTTTGTGGACCAGGAGCCCCTGCCAAGACTGCGGCAGTTAGGGAGAAAATGCATGAACTGTCCCTGGCTCCGGGCTCCAGGCCTGGGCAGTGTGTGAGAGAGCAAGGCAGACAGAGGGACCTGGGGGAGAGAGGGGAAGCCGGCAGGACGGGGTGTGGCTCCAGCTCCCTCCGGCATGTTCCGTGTGCCCAGGGAGAACCTAACTCCCACCTTGTTAAGGGAAGTGAGCACCCTTCCCCTCTCTCTGGGCTGCTTTGAGGATCCCATGGGATAAACGTGTGAATGCCCGGGAGGGCCCTGGCGCACAGTAGGTACCTGTTGCTGCGTTGCAATAATCACTGCTTCCCTAGCGACAGGGGCTATGTTTTCACTGTTTTCAATAGTTAACTTATCTAATTCTTGCAACAACCCTGTAAGGCAAATACCGTTAGTCCCCATTTTATAGATGGGTAAGTGGAGGCTCAGAGAGGTTAAGCAACTTACCCAAGGCCACACAGCTAGTAAGAGGCAGAGCCAAGATTTAAACCCGAGAAACAGGCTTCAGCTTTTGGGATGTTGCCCCAGATGCCACACTGCTCTCAAGATGTAGCTCTAACATTGTGGGCGTTTCCACACCTGAGGATCCTAATAGCACCTGGGCACTGGCAAGGACCCTATAGTCCATGGGGCTCTCTCATGCAAGGGCTGGCAAGGCTGGGACTGTCCCTCTCATTTCAAAGTGAGGGACCTGAAGACAATCCAAATGGGGCCAGTGACTTGCCCAAGGCCACCTGTCAGTGGGCAGCTACCCTGGGAACAGCAACAGAATGCCCGAGGCCAGGCCAGGGCTCACCTCACACCCACTTCCCTCTGCCAGGTATGGAGACATTCTTTGTAGGCAAATGACAGTCTCCTAGGGTCTGGGAGCTGGGGGAGTTGATGTGACAATGACACAGTGACATGATCACAGCCCAGGGAGCTGGACACTGGTTTCTAGTGGCCTGAGAGCTGGTCACTGTGCCCAGCCTGAGATAGGCCCTGTGGCCTCCCCGCCAGGCTGGGAGCTCTGGGGGAGCAGGATGGAGGTGGGAGGGCATCTGTGCCGCAGAGAACCTTCCGGGCTCCACGCCTACCTCCCCCCACCCGCCTGTCTCTCGGGCTTTAGACTCAGACACCCCTGGGTCTGAACCAGCCCCTTGGGGCCTCGGGCAGCTCATCTATGAAGTGGGCGTAACAGGCCTCCCTTGGGGGTGGGCGACGGCCACAAGAGGAGGGGCGTGGGAGCCTGTGGGTGCGCACGGCAAGTCCGCCCCGACTTCTAACCACGCCGCCCCCGGTCCCCAGGTGACGGCTGCCCCGTGCTCCGAGGCGCTGCGGGCTGCATTTATGACTTGTTTTATAACCCTAATGCAGCTCATTTATAAAGCAGGCGCAGACGTGACCGAGGAAAGCAAACATTAGACATCCATTAGTGCAGCGGGGCTGTGTCCGCAGCCCCCCGCCCCGCCCTCCCTGCCCCTCGGGCCTGGGCGGGGACATGGGCCGAGCATCCCCTCAGTGCCTCTTGGCCCCTTGCCGCGTCCCCACACCCAGGCGTCCTGGAGGCAGAGGCTGCCAGGAGACAAGGACGGAGAATCAGAGGCTGCCCGAGAGCCCTGCCCAGAGGGCCCACGGTGGACTGTGTGTGCCGGCATGCAGTGGGGCACAGGGAAGGCCAATTAAGTGAGGGGCTGCGTGTGGGTGCCAGGGCCTGTGTGACACTGAGCCGGGCCCTGCCCTCTCTCCTCCTCCACCTGGGTGGGAGCCGGGAGGCCTGACAGGTGGGCCAGGTGAGGGCGGCCTAAGCCGGGCTCCCTGGGTGCCAGCTGGGAGGGAGAGTACCAGGCTCTCGGGGTTCCCGGATGCGTCCTCTGCCAGCCACTGCTCTGGGGGTGCTTCGTGTTAACTCGCTGAGCCCCATGATGACCCCAGGCAGAGATGCCCAACCTGTTCTAGCCTTCAGTGTCTCAGCGACTTTTTCATGGTATCCCAAGGCCAAAAAGAAATTCCTAGTAGGAATGTATCAAGTAATTACATTCAAACAGCTTCCTAAGTCTTTATATCCTAAAATCTTAGGATACACGGAAAGAAAAAGGAATACTTTTATTCCATTCCTAAATAGCCTCCATGATTTACTAATGGGGATGTGTGCACCTGCTGGGCACTGTGCAGCTTCTCAAACTTTGGGATCGGAGTGGACGCCGTCACCCTTACTGCGTGTCGTGGGGTTTGCATCCCAGCCGGGGGCTGACATAGCTGCGTGGCCGTTCTCCCTCAGGCCTTGGCGTTCCGTAGTAAAATGAGGGGGCTGGCACCAGGTCAGTCACACGGGCCCTCCTCTGGTTCTAACACTTTGCGATTTTAAGATCCCTTACGAAGAAGTTGATCCTGTGTGAAAGTGTCCTTTTGAGTCAAGTTTTTCTCCATAAAGCAAATTTGCTTAGGGTAGGGTTTCTTTTCTTGCCATTGCTATTCCTGGCTCAAATACTCATCACAGGCCGGGCGCGGTAGCTCACGCCTGTAACCCTAGCACTCCGGGAGGCCGAGGCGGGAGGATGGCTTGAGCTCAGGAGTTGAGACCAGCCTGAGCAAGAGCGAGACGCCCCCCCCCCCGTCTCTACTAAAAATAGAAAAATTAGCTGGACATGGTGGTGCACACCTGTAGTCCCAGCTACTCAGGAGGCTGAGGTGTGGGAGGAGCGCTTGAGCCCAGGAGTTTGAGGCTGCAGTGAGCTATGGTGATGCCACGGCACTCTAGCCTGGGTGACAAAGGGAGATTCTCTCTCAAACCCCCGCCTGCTCCCCGGCCGACAGTAGTCCTAAGGCAGAGCGTGGGTGGAGCCCAGGGAAGAAGAGGAGGAACCACGTGCTGCTGGATTGTCCCACCCGTGCCCCAGCCCACGCATCCCAGGCCTCAGACCAAAATGACCACATCGCTGTGGGGTGGGACTTCCTGCTGAGCACCATTCAAAGTCTCACGTCTAATTTGCCTTTACCTGCCTGTATGAGGTCTCCATAGAGGTTACTTAGAGGGCCATACCATCTCATCGGACATCTCCCATCAATTCCTCATCCAACCTTGACTCCCATACCTCCAGGCACGGGGAACTCACCACTGCTTTTCTGAGCCAGGCTCTCCTTTGGACAGATCTAATGGTTAGTAAAGGCTTCCTTACTCTCAGCTGCAATTTGCTATTGAAGTTCCAGCCGTTGCTAAAACCCTAACCCGAGGTCACACCGAACAGCGTGCTTCCTCTTCCCAGCGACAGCTTCCCGGTCTCTGGAGGCTGCAGCTTGCCCTTCCTGGCCTTCTCATCTTTCTTTCAAATATTCTCTAAGACGCAATTTCGCATCCCTCACCTCCATCCTTCTGGACGAATTCCATCCTGTCACGACCCACTTAAAATGCGGGGAGGTGAGGTGACCTCAGGAGGGTCTAGCGGGGGCCTTCCTGCTTCTGGAGAGAACACTTTGAGCCAGGCAGCTTGAAGGCTGCTCCTGGAGGGCAGGGAACACACCACGCCCTTCCTGGTGTCCCCCGCGGCGTCCAGGACAGGGTACCTGCTTGGGAGGGAAGTGGAGCTTACAGGACAGTGGCCCTGTGCCAGTCCGTGCCCACAGTGGAGACAGACGTGTTTCAGAGATGCAAAATCTGTCCATGGCTACACCGCCCTGAACGCGCCCGATCTCGTCTGACCTCGGAAGCTAAGCAGGGTCGGGCCTGGTTAGTACCTGGATGGGAGATGCAAAATCTAAGCCACCACGATGAGCAGGAGTCAGGCCCTGGGGGGTGAAGGAGCAGCCTCAGGACAACTATATTTCCCGTGTGTCCCCTCCAGAAGGGAAGGGGAAGCAGCAGTCTCCCTGAGTGGGAGACCGCCACCAGTCCTGGGGGAGCCAAGAGGGGCTCGGCCTCCCTCACCCGGGCCCTGAGCCTGGGGCCCAAGCTGGGCGGGTGTGCAGCAGAACAGGCT